TTACATGGCTGCGATTGAAGCAATCCATTCGAAGATAGAAGTACCAATGCCTAGACCAGTGAGTGTGAAGGTGTGATTAGCGAGATTCTTAGCAGCCATGGTGAGCTCGTTGAAATCAGATCCGATCATAGCTTGAAGAGTTCCATGGTCTTTCCTAAACGTCGAGAAAGTCATCTCTCGCCGGAGGAGATCACAGAGGAAGAGAAAAGCTTTGAATAATTGATGTGAGAGAGGAGAGTAGAGAGATGATGGTGATGAAGAAGACTCGAGGTTGATTTTAAAGATACAGAAATGACTCGATGGATGCTTTTTTCGCCACGTGGAATATTGAAATATTTTTTATTTTGCATAATAATCGAACAAGATATTATTATGTACAGTTAAAGTATAGTTTACCAAGCCAATTGATATCTGATGATGACGGTAGACACGTGTCTACTCCTGCTTCTTACCACGTGCCTGTGGGCCCTCGATGAGTGTGTTTTTTCTTCTTTAAACAATGTAAATCGGTGGACGTAAGCAGAAATGGGACGACCCAGCTGTATTTTCTAAATAATTTATATTTATTTAATTAAAATCTAGAGTTTTTTTTTTTTTTTTKACGACAATTAAATTTTAGATTTTATCATGGTGGAATCATATAGCATGAGAATATTGGGATTTTTGATATTGGTAATACTAATTGCTAAAACAAAAAATATATATTGTTCAATAGTTACTGATCATACAAACGGAAACAATAAATAATATTATAAATGGTAATTTTCTTTTATCGTGTTCATTCTTTTGGCAAATTTATTTAAAACAAATATTGAACATCTAAACGTACGGTATATACTTCAATCCAACTAAATTATGTAAATTATTTATATAAAAGCAGTTATATATGTTTCAGGCGTTATATAATAATAATTAATAATGAGACAGAAAATAAGAGCATATTTCGTATGTTCAAGTTATAGATCAGCTTATAATATAAATTTTAGCGACCCAGATGATGATGAAGGTTGGTAATGTGTAAATAAATTCTAGATATAATGCGTAGTAGACTTTGCAGACATATCAAATCAATTTTTTTCTTATTCTTTTTATTATTTGATGTCGGCAGAAGTTTTTTTTCTAGAAAAAAATCTTATTTTTGTCAGAAGAGCATCAAATTGTTTCAGCAACGGTAGCGCGCCAATAAATC